TCTTAGTGAATAGGCTCGTGCTGCTGATGGCAATGAAAGATGAGAACTTTAGGTGGATTTCGATTTCTTGTAAGGGAAAACGACGAAAAGGAGCGGATTTTTTAATCTCAATCCCTGTAGAGAGAGATGAAGACATTTGGGCTTGCTCAGATCATAGAAAGGCTACTCACACAGCACTACTGTACAATAATATTTGTCAGATGGCTTAATAAAAATATCTGAAAAATAAGTCCAAATAAGTATTGCGTACATTTATACGAGAAGAGCAAGTAATATCCTCCACTGCTTTTATCCGTACGAAAGCAGTTGTATGAAATGACCGAATCACCCATCCATGAAATGTTTTTTTTGGAGTTCGAAACCATTTTAATTTTGTACGGTGCTCACTTGAACCACAAATTTGTGCGCTCATATTTTCTTTACAAAATCAGAATTTTTGGAGTACAATAATACTGAAATCATTGGGCCAAGATATTTTAGTTATATTTTAATTTAACTTGATCCAAACAAGCTTAAAAATTTAACACATACCATTTGCATCAGTTTTATTTGGTGCATTTACATACAAGCAAATTTATCTACATATTTAACACCCATACTTTCATATTTACATACATAATACTCATATCTTGAATATCATATTTATTGAATCATGATTGGTCAACAAATTACACGATAATGAATTAAACGTAAGAAGAGAGAGAGAGAAAGAGAGAAGTGAATACTTTTATTTTACAATGATAAACTCTAAAAACTTGCACACTAACAGAATACAAAACATTTATTTATAGTTGAGGGCGGACTTTAAACTTATGCATTACAACTTAATAAAAGATAACACATCCATTTGATGTGACATAAAGTCATAAAATAATTATAAATACTATTATACCAACTAATATTATTGCAATCACTATTTCAACAACCGATACTATTTCAAACACCAGAATTACTGGTCATAATGTCTATCGGAAGTGAATCAATTGGGGGTACACTTTAAGCAGCTTTCAATTTTATATTGTTAATTTGAGGCGAAGTGGGTCATCATTCATTCCCAATTTTCTTCGTCTGACCCATTATTAGAGACTGACATATCTTCTGCTTTCATTTGTTTCTGATAGAACTCCTGCATTTGCTGCTTAATTTGTTCAGGAGATTCTCGAGGATATTTGCACTGAGTTATTTTCTCTTTCTTGCTTGATTTTGAGTTCTTTTCTCTTTCTTGCTTGATTTTGTTAATGTAATTTTTTTCTTAAATTTTTAAACTTTAGAGGATTAACTTTATTGGTTAAGTGTTTTCCATTTTTAATTTAAGATCTCATCTAGTGATCTTGTTCAAAAGAATATATCATTATTAACACATGTTTCATTATCTACATTAAAGTTCAGTTTATAATAATTCTTTTTCTATATCATCTGAATTGTTTTTTTCCTTAAATTATATATTTTTCAAATGAATTAAACTCAACCTAATAAAGTTCTTGGTGATTTATGAGAAAATTAGATTTGAAGAATCCATCAAATCAAATAAATTATTTATTAATAAATTTAGTTTTATTTAGTTATTTATCTATTAAATTATTTTTTTATGAATCATAGAAAAAAATTTAAATTATTGTTTCGAGTCTTTAAAATTTCAATGATTATTTGAGCTAATAAAAGTTTTGAAGTAATAATTCTAAGTTTGGCATAATACTAAGTTATAAGATTGCATTTTAAGAGAAATTAAAATACCAAATATAACAAAATACTCCATAAAGGTACTCATAAAACAAATAAATACTCCTCCAAACTTACTTTCCATTAACTACAATAAATAAAATAACATAATAATAGAAAATTAAAAAATAAGTACACTAATTTGTAGAAATAAGGAATATACATGAAACATAAAATAAAATACATAAAAAATAAAATAAAGGAAAATATAGGACAACAAAATGGTCACTCATCATCGCCTTCCACCGTAGGATGTACGATGTAACATAATGTTGGAAAGCAAGATCTATAAGAAATAATGTAGCCTATAGTCTTTTATTCATTTGGTGGTGTAAAAACAAGTTGAAAAGTGTTAAGAGTTAAACTCAACCATATAAGAATACTAACGATGATGTTGATCTATGTAATGATCAAATTGGCTCCCCATCTCTTGTTATCACCTCTTGAGCTTGGAGATGCACTCATGCAAGTCATGCACTAGGCCGTCATAGAAGAAGAACCTCTATCTCTTAATGTGGATAGATAGGGGATCACACAATGTATAAGGGAATATATACAAAGGAGGAGTGGGTGTATAAGTGTGAAGTGTGTCTTAGTGATGGCTTAGTGGGCAAATGTGAGAATAAGAAGAACAGTTGGAAAGGAATTATCAAAGGAGAGAGAATATCATTGGCAAAAATAAAATAAAGGGAAACTTTGGGTGTTTCTCTTAAAACTTCCTTATATTTTGTTTATGTTTTCTTGTTCTATAATTCGTGTTTGTAAGGATGTTGTGTAAATAAGCTCAAATATTTTTGAGTTAGTTATTTGCTTGTGATTTACAATAAATCTGAGTTTGTGTTCTCAAAATTTTAATAGATTTTAAGTTGATGTGCTAACATTTGAACTTTATTTACTTACAATTTGACCAATTATATGTTAATTTTTACTGTGGTCAAGATTTTGTAATAGAAAACTAGTGGAATGATTAAATTAATGCTCAATTCTTTAGTAAAATAGACATATTGCTTTTAAGAAATTGCAATCGATAGATAAAAACATATTTCTAGAATTTTTTGCAAGTTTTAGGCAACTAAAGCATAATATGAGATAACAATAATCCTTAAATCTCAACAAAGATTAAGGAGTTGCTTAGTCCTTGATTATCAACCTCATTCTGAACACTTTTAATCATTTGAATCTTAAGTGAATAACTAATTCAAAGAAAATTTTTATAAAATCCAAAAACCAAACAAAATCAATTTTTTCCTTAAAAACTTTTATGTTATCTTTGGATTTTGCAATAGTTTGATAAAACTAAAAGTTCAATAAGCTAGTATATAATCTAATATAAAAATTATTAAAGTTCTTTGTAGGATCGACACTTGGAATCAAACCTTATACTACACTTACCATTAATCATGTGGTAGATATCAACAAATCATAGAGTGTGCCAAAGTATGAAAAATGTTAGATGATAAAAATAGAGCTTCAAAGACACAGTGGTTTACTACAACCCTTGCATATTTAGAAAGAAAGTGGGAAAGTAATTTTCTTAGATTTTGTGATGGGTCATCTTAGATAAAAACAAGGTTATGATGTAGTGTAGGGTTATTATTGATTTGTTAACAACATTATGCTTTATGTCTATTTAATTTACTAGATAATGTTTCTCAGATATATGTAAAAGAGATATTCATACTAAATAATACACTCAAAATAATTGTATCTAATCAGGTTGAAATTCTTAGTTTTAAATTATGTAAAGGATTACAAGAAGATTTGGGTATCATATTGAAACATTTCACCAACATATAAATGGAAAGTTTGAGAGAACTATACAAACATTAGAGAAATTTTTTAGATTATGTTATGTAAATTTTGGTGAAAAATGAGAGAGTCGTATTATTTTAATTGTATTCACATATAATTACAACTTTCATTTTAGTAACGTGATGACACCTTATTCAGTTTTATATGGTAAAAAAAGTGGAATACTTTTAACATAGATAGTTGTAGGAGAATAAAACATTTGGGTCCAAAATTAATTGATGATACCACTAAAGGAGTAAAACTTATCAGTGATAAATTGAATGCAACACAAGAAAACTAAATTAAATATAATAATCCATAATATTATATAATAGAATTTGAATATTAGTGATTTTGTGTTTATAAATATTAGCACTTCGAAAGTAGTGTATAAAATTGGCATAGAAGAGAAACTCAATTCTATATATATAGGTCCTTATGAAGTGATAGATTGATAAAAAAATCAGCTTATAAATTGTTGTTTCCCAATCATTTGTCTGACATTCATTTTGTATTTCATATTTTTTCATTAAGAAATGAGTAACAATGCATATAATAGAGTATTAGTTGCTAAAGTGAAATTACGGCCAGACTTTACTTATAGAGAAGAAGATAATTGTAAATTACCTTATGAATTGAAACAATTAAGAAATTCTAATAGTAAAAATCTAATAGAAATATAAAATAGAAAGAGAACAAACATGGGAGAAAGAGTCCTAGATGAGATAATTATATCTGGAGTTGTTTATTAGCTAATATGTAAGCACTTGAATGTTGAGGATGATATTATAATTAAGTGAGATTGTAATAAGTACAACATATTTAGGAATCAACCACATGCTCTCAGATGTATAAATATTTTATATATCGATAAAAAAATAAATGTTTTGTTAATGAACACTTCAAAATGTATATATGTGCAATGATGAATCTAAATTTTTTTATACTAAAATTAATGATTCTAGTGACTCTATTTGATGAAAATTTAGATGATAAGAAAATTTCCTTTCAAATAGTTTTTGGAAAAATATTTGTTAAGCACTCAACTTGTTGTGACCTATTTTTTGTATATATGTTATATCAAGTAGGGTCATGACACTACCTTCTTTAACTAAGTAAACCACAATCCATGAAAGCCTGAGTCAATGAAACCATTAGATCTTGATTGAGTTCATCATCATTCATCAAATCGGCCCCTCTAAGCTTATGGAGAAAATTTTATAATCCAAAATTTAAGTTTGTTGCTACTATATGTTGAGGGATCAACAACCTATGACTAAGCTTAGCTGAAATTGCTCTCTTATTTTTGAGAATGATAATTAACTATAGAGAGTTGTGCCTATGAGAAATCTTGAACACAATATCTTAAAGTCTTTGTAGAATAAAGGTGAAATCACTGAGTTGTCTTAAACTTCATGTAAAGCTCTCTTTCTTTCATTGAAAGAGAGGTTGGGATGAGCGAAAATTGAATCAGTTTTAATCTTATTGATATATTAAAACTTCTATTGGTAATCATTTATATGGATAAATTAGAACAATTCCCTTTGATATTTTCTTACAGTATGTTTGATTGATTCACATAAACAAAGGTCACTTGAAATAAGAAAATCTTTTTTTGTACAAATTTATTTTGAAAGTAAAATATCACTTGAGCTGAGTTTGATAATATTATGCACAAAAATGATGAAAAAAATATGTTGTACTAAACAAATATAAATATTATTTCAATTTGCGATATTTATGCATGAAAATTATTGGAATTAACAATGTTAATAAAGTTTAATGTCATGAACAATTCAAATTCGGTTAGCTAAATAACTTGTATTTTTCTCATTAATTAATTAACAAGTCAAATATGAACATGACATTTAGGCTCTATTATCTTATGAGCAAACATAAATAAAAAAAAATAATTTTCTTACATTTCACCTCATAAAATCTCATTAGTATATATATCCAATGGTATAACAGTTGCAAAAAGTAATCATAGCTTTCTTATTTTACTATTTTATTCAAAATAATAAAAAATTTATCTTTTGATTGATGCATCTATATGTCATGTTTATGTTCTTAAGAAAATCAAATAATGAATCGGTAATAGACCTAAAAATGTTAAATATAAAAAACATGTAGAATAAAAAACTAATGAACTATAATCAAACATTATAATTTGTTCATATATAATTGATTCATTTACACAATTGATTCAGATAATAAAATCCATATTGTTCACAAATCTCAAAATAGCTAAAAGAGTTTTGAGTGTGTTGAAAAAAAATTGACTTATGATGAAATATGGGACATTGTTTTGAATAAATAGAGTTGTTGAAGCTAGAGAACTTCAAATGTTACGTTGGGAAACATAGCCTCTAAATTCTCCAATCTATAACATAAAAACCTTTCCTTAAATTACCTTTTGTGGGCAATAGTATTCTTACTTCATTATTCTTTCAAAATTTGATTGACTTGCAATATCATTACTAGGAATGGGCTACTGAGAAATATTTTAAGCTAGAATTGAAAGGCATGTGCGCTTATCACAGGCTTTAAACATACGATGGTTATTAATGATGGCCTTTATGTTATTTAAGTGTTATATATATAAATATAGAAGAATTATATGACATGTATGTGAATGCACCAAATATCTTTCCTGCTATTGCAACATAGACATACATCACATATACACAAACTATAAGAGAGTAGGTGCTTGTGACCTCCCAATCTGCCACTAAATTGGTCATAATGACCATTGTGCGATCAATCTTTTTTGCCATAGAGCCAGTTGCAACTTGTAAAATTATTTGTCACAAATAATCTATAACAAGCCTTGTCATTCACATAAATGATTTGTTGTAAAATTTTATGCAAAATGGAGGTCACAGATAGATTCAATGGCCTCTAAAAGCTAGACTTTATGGCTAGAACCGATTCCAAAAGATTACATACCAGACAACAAAACATCCGAGTTTGTATATTCTACACTTGCAAATATACTGAAACCAAATAGCAACAAGTTAAAATTGTAGAATAATTTCACATATCTATAGAAGCTAATAGTATTAGTAGGTTAAACCACTAATAATAAATATTATAATTCTAGCACACATTTCTTTTATAAATATAAAAAAAACTTATAAATAATAAACAAAAATCAACTATTCATCACTATGATCTTTATCATCACCACCATCTTTATCATCATCAACATCAGCTTGGGTTTCTCCGATATCACCTTGCTCCTATTATCACATAATCGATTTCCTGTGATATTGGCTCCCTCTATTTCCTTGTGAGGTAAACGATAACTAGGTTCTACCCTCATAATGTCCATCAAAATCATGCATACAACCCTCTGCCAGGTATCCTATTGCTTCAATCCATATACTGCAAATAGTGTTTTTATACACACTAAATTTATGGCTATATATATATATATACATATATATAAGAAATTTAATATTGTTGCTTCTTTCAATTTAAAAAGAAATTGAATTTTGTACAAAAAAACATTAGCACATGAACAAACTATATTGTAATTGTTCTTTCTTTTTATAATGAATCTTGTTGAAGAGCTTAGTTTTCATTAATGCTCATCTAAACTAACTTATAATTAATAATAACTATTATAAAGTATTTATTCTGATATTTTCAAATTTAAAATAACTTAAAGCTGAATGTACAAAAAAAACTATATAATGCTTTTGTGCAACAAATAGAATTAAGCTCATAAATATTTTGTGATATCCCCTTCTTTCATAATGAGGCCCTTGGAAGAAGCCACTTCTTAGTACTTTTGTCAATCCTCACCAACCAATATAAGATAAATCTATTCCATACAATATTGTTCATTCAGTACAATTCATTTCTCTTCTTGTTGCTATTATGATCAATATTAGCCTTCTCAAGGCATCTTTAGAAGCCATATTATGAGCATGCAAAAGAAATCTCTTAGTAATCCTTTCTCAAGCATCCCTTATATTAAAATCAGCAAACAAACACAGAGACAACTTGTAACTAAAAATACATTACAACATTCTTCAGCTTCTCAACATTATTCATACCAGAACAGAACACTGATTAACTATCTACATAAACAATTGAATCCTTCTATATTAAAACACAAAATAACCCATACAAATTATCTCAACTAACATATTGAGGCTTAATAGTTTATTGTTATTATTATTGCACAGAACATTGAACAAAGGAAGCCTAACACTGGACTCCTCTTTGTTCCTCATAATACGCATAATGAATGCTTTTTTTTTCAACCAGAGGAGAACCAAATAGCTCAATGTTGATCTTAAGCCTTGGGAGCATTGAAGAGAGAGGAGGCATCACTATAAATAGCTACTCCATTTGATAGCACAGCAAGCACAATCATTAGAACAGATAGAAGTTTGTCCTGCAAAGTCGCAATACCATGGGGATCCCTGAAAATGAAAATAAAATAAAATAAATAAATAAATTTAAAGACAACAATAAATAATAATAATAATAATAATAATAATTTATAGAATTACTTTAACAACATTAAAGATACTGCTTAATAGATCTGGCGACCATTTTCTATGGCCTGCCATTTACATACATACTACCCAATTCCTATGTATTTAGATATCTAACACCTAGACTTTACTTATTAGATTTATGCCACCTAAATCTATCATATTATGTCAAAAATGCCACCATTTTAACTTTTCAAAAGAGAAATACACCTTTTCATGTACTGGTAAAGTGGCATATACATACAAAGTGAAATTTAGCTGTTAGATATTTAAAAACATAGGAATTGAGTGATATTTATGTAAATCTTCCTTTATATTGCTCATAAATGCAAAAGAAAAAGCACTTAAAACTCACTTAAGTGTGATGGCAGCTGGAAAGATGAACCCGATGCAAACTGCGGCGGTGGCGCCGGTAAATTGGAAGGCATCCCAGATGCTCGGAACAAAGTTTGCGGCTAAAAACACCAGCGAAAGAAGTGTTACTGAAGTCACAGTGAACCTACAATTATCAGTAGATAAAGGCCTGGCATTGGGAAAGAGGAGACCATCCAAGTTGAGCCTCAAAGCATGAAATATCATAGGGAAAACAAGCATGAGATGTACAGCGTAGCTGACACGAACAACATCATTCATAACAGCACTGTAAGGTATGCCGAGGTTTTCGTCGAAGTTGGCAAGCACATCATGAAGAGTCGATTCGCCGAAGAGAAGATAACCGAAGAAGCTCGTGGCTATGTAAACAGTAGAGCAGAGTGCTAGTGATGTCCTCACAATAGGCTTTATCTGGGAGGAGTCTTCAAGTTCATTGTCAATGCTATGAACTGTGTATAAGTCATCATAAGTATGAAATACAAGAGAGATACTCATAGAAAGAAAATCAAAATATTGCCATACAAAAAATTTAGCTCAACATCCTATAGTTGCATCTTTATATCATGACTATTACTATAATTAAATTTTACAAATACAATTTTAAAAGAAGACATGAATACCATTATAATGGCAGATAAAAGCCGTCACGAGAACCGGAACTGTGGTGAAGAGCTTCGAAACAGATGCGAGATCCGGTATCACAGGAAACAATTTCGGCATTGGAATGCTTCCATTTAGTAATTTGATAACAGCAATCCCAGCAGTGATTACAACAAAAATTACAGCGAGAGCAACAGACAAGGCCGACGTGTAACTCAACGAATCTGCAAGAGAAAGGAGCACAACACTTATTAAGAAAATCACTATTGTCAATAATCAGGAACATAATTTAGATATGGGGCATTTACACACATACCACATAATTCTTATGTATTTACACATTTAACACCTAAGCATTCATATTTACATGCATATCACTCAAATCTTTAATGTCACATCGAAAATATCACCACCACCACTATCTTTTTAAAATGTAAAATGCAGCTTTTTCATGCTCAGATTTATGGCACTAAGATGTTATAAGTGTAAATATCAAACTCTAAGTGATAGATATATAAATATATTAGAATTGAGAGGTATGTATATAAAATCCCCTTTGAAAAATTATTGAACTTAGCAAATAGTGGGAGAAGACTTACCCACATGCTTGAAGCTTGCTAAAGGAGCAAAAACTACAAGAGTTGTCACAAGAAGAACAAAGAAACGCCCATTCCACCAATGCTCACCAAACCATCCTTCCAATACACCTGAGTGATGAAGTCCACTAGAAGATGTTCCAGAGAGCACATCACCTTGCCCAACAAAAAAATATTAATATTAACACAATTCACACATTAAATAAAAGAATCAAATACATCATATGAAACAAATCATAAACTTAGTATAGATTCCAGCTTGAATCAGACAACCCACAAAAGAACTAAAATCTCATAAATTCAGATGAATTGTGAGAGGACTTGAAAATTAAAAAAAGCATTACATGTAGCTTGCTAAACAGTAGAGGAAAAGATATTTGAGAAGATAAATATATGATGAGTGAAACAGTTTTTTCATAAGAGAAGTACAACATAAAAGAGAGGATAAATAAAGTACATCAATGGGATAAAAATACAAAAAAGGGAATTACATAGAAAATAATAGCTTAAAGACCTTGATGACAGTAAAATAAGCCCAAATAACAGTTTAGATCGGTTGATATCACATGTTCAAGGGAAAATCATCAAAATCCTAGATTCAAAAAAAGGATTAGATTGCAGTGCCGATAACTAAAATGATCCTTTTCCAATAATACATATCTGCAGTACATAATCAAAGCATAAACAACATAAGATGGCATACCAATTATAATCATATAGACAATCATCACACCAACATTATTTACAATCACACAAATCTGAAGCAGCATCCTCCCAATCTTTCCAAAAGAATCACCCATGACACCTGCGTAAGAAACTGACTTCCCAACCTGACTGAATCTAATCAAAAACTCTATTGAAGCCTCAGTTAGGAATGCAAAAAATATAATCATGAATATCCCTGGCACCAAACCCAACACTTTCATGGTGGCTGGAAGAGACATGATTCCAGCCCCCACAATGGTAGTCGACAGATTAAATACAGCACCAGAAAATGAAGCACCATTAAATTCATCAAAATCTGCATCATCTTTCAGCAAGCTTGGCAGCAAGGGAGAGTTCTCCTCAAGAACATGCTTTCCCTTTCCCTTACTTCTCTTCTCCGGAAGAACACTTGCAATTGTCATCCTTGACCACTTTAAAAAGCAATCTTTCACAGAATTTCAGAAGCTAAAGAAGAATTTCAGTGATAAATCATGAACCTACAAAAAGAGAGCGCACTGAAGACATCTAATAAGTGTGAATTAAAGGGACAAAAAACAGTTTTATGATTCAAAATTGAAGTTTGCACCAAGAAAATATGACTTATCCAGAGACCTTGTCAGAGGGGAAAGAAATTTAGGGAAACCAGACGTTGAATATTAGTAACAAAATATTAACCTGCAAAAACGGAAAATCCCAAAGATAAACAGTGTTGACAAAATAAAATTGATGATTCAAAATTGGAACTTGAAGCAGAATAAGCAAGACAATTACCACAGATTCAGAAACCTTACGAGAAGATAAGGAAATCCAATTGGGAAAACCAGAAGCTAATTAAGAATACCAGCAACAAAATAGGAACTTGCAAACAGGAAGCATCGCAACAAAGTCCAATCAATCGAAGAAAAAGTTTTTTATGATTCAAAACCGGAACATGAAGCAAAATAACTAAGAAACTTTCACAGATTCAGAGAGTTCATACAAAGATAAGAGAATTGAGCAGGGAAAACCTAAATCAAAAGCAGGGACTCGATAGAAAAAGGTAAACAAAAAGGAGCGGTCTTCGTTTTCTTGCCTAGCATCCGATCAATGTACAGACATGAGAAAGGTTGCCGTATCGTTCTAGTATCGATATGAAAGGATAAAATATTACGATTGCTGAAATGGCAATGAAATGATGAATTTTTGCCTAATCTAGTTATTTTCAGATTTTTTTAAGGCTATTTTCAATAATTTAAAAATAATTCAGGGATAACCTGCGATCTTTTTTTTTTAGTCAGGTTGCCGTATCGTTCTAGTATCGATACGAAAGGATAAAATATTACGATTGCCGAAATGGCAATGAAATGATGAATTTTTGCCTAATCTAGTTATTTTCAGGTTTTTTTAAGGCTATTTTTAATAATTTTAAAATAATTCAGAGATAACCTGCGATCTTTTTTTTTTGAGTTATTTCGGGATTATTGAAAATAACCCAGAAATAACTTGAAAATAACTCAGGAGTCCAGACAGAAAATGCGCTTCTTTTATTGACGGGAGTTTTTCACTAATGTTAATGAATTTTAATGTATGTATATTTTAGGGATAAACATGCATAACAACTGAAATATTTATATTTATAAAATTAGCACTAATGTGATTTTCTTACCTACTACAACGATGCATTTACATGTGCAACAATCAAACTATAGGGAATTTGATAAACATGAAAACTATGAGTTGAGATTTTTTTCATGAATTTGAATATTTGAGCGAGAATTTAAAAAAATAGATGAATGAGCATACTAGTTTTGTCAATAACAATGTTTCGAATGTTATCTATTTAATTTCCCTTATTTTTTATATTTATTTGCTTAAACTTTTATAGGAATGAAAGTAGGTAGTGATACCAGTTCACATCAGTTGTTATCACAATAATATAAATCATAATAATGACACCAAAAAAAGTGATATGCCCCCTAACAATTTGATTGAATTTAAAATCATATTTTTTTACACACTGATGTTTCTCACACATGTATACGTATTGTCTCAATAGTATAGGGCTTTAAAGAGTTCAGAGTGTCGAATCCACAGGAAACAATGGAAGCCAAAGTAGGAAAATGTTCTAGTCTACTTAATTTGTTCTTAGTTTGAAATTTTGAAATACGTTGGTTTTGCTAACAAACCTAATACAATTATATAAAGTTACACCTATAGAATTTCTAACCGTGTTATGAGAATTGGTTTTGTCAAGTGCTAAGGTTACTTTTCCTTGCAGTGATAATAACATAGCACAGATGTGGAAGAAATGCAAAATAAAGTAAAGTTTTTTGACAAATAGAATCATAAATCCAATCCTCTTCTAACCAAATAAAGAGGCTTTGATAAATTGGCCTTAATTCTTTAAGTCTCACTTTGAAAACAATGAGGCTTATCTCTCTATTTATTTGCATTTCCTACAATGCATTTTGATTCATACCCTATAGTTCAATGAGATTTTCCTAGTTGTTCATGTGGTAGCTCTTCTGAGTCCTTACGAGTTCACGACACATTTTAACAGATCAACTGGCTAGATTGAAAAGTAAAGTGCAGAAGAAAATCATCACAATTATAGAATAAAATTATTTCATGCATGCTATCAACATCCCTACACATCTACTACATCACTATAAGGAAAAATAAGTAAATTTACTCAGAAAACATGAATAAAACAACACTAGAACGTATTGAAATAAAGAGATTCAACATATAAATGTGTTTCAAAAAAAATTACAACTTTAAATCATAAATATACTTATCTCTGTCCCTCACTTTGCCTCAAGATTGCTCCACCCAAGCACTCGCTCTTCTCCTATAACTCTTAATACAGTAACACTTACAAAAAAACACAACTCACACCCCTAGACTTGCTCAAAATAAGCCCAGGACACCTACAAAAATAGGTAAAAAATCCCTCTAAAACTCTCTCTAACCTAAGAACACACTTTTTCTTTTGTTATCACAATAATATAAATCATAATAATGACACAAAAAAAACGTGATAAAACTCTCATTTCCCCCTTCTTCAAGAAATTTACTTTTTTCCCCTAAAAACCTCTTAAAACTATCATGAAATTGCTCTAAACTGCTCTGAATCGTCTCAAAATTGTTCAGAATTCGGTTGTGGCACATAGGCGCCACTCTATTCTGGCTTCATGGCCTTGACCGTCAGGACTGAGGCCTTGACGCCCAGTGGATGACACCTAAGCGCCAATCTCTCGGGTTACCTTTTACTTGATTGGAGCCTAGGCGCCAGATTGATTTGGTGCCATGGCCTTGGTCTTCAGAACTGGGGCTTTGATCCCTGTTGGTTGGTGCTTTAGCGCTAATCTCTCAGGTTCTAAGCATGGCTGACGCCTAGGCACCTAGTACTTGGTGTCATGGCCCCAACCTTCACAAAATACTTTTTCTTAAAATTTTCTCTTTTTTGCTTCATATTTCTTCCACTTTATTCCACTTTTAATTCCTATTATACCTGCAAGAAAAACATATAAGTATCTTTTTTTAAAGTATAATTTCATTCAAAAAAAATCAACAAAATATAAAGAAATTCATGCAATTTTTTCATACATCAATATCCCCCTAACTTAACTGTTACTTGTCCACAAGTAACACTACAACTTTAAAAACCAAATTTGTTGATTCGTTAAATTTTCCTACAATTTTGGCTCAGAAATGTCATAGTGCAACTTAGGAGATTTTAGTGAATCGGCCTAGTGTTAGGGTGTAAGAACATCTTGTATTCAACTTAGAAATCCTTATCATAAAACTTGGGATCTTTAGAAAGTATAAAAACAAAATTTTCATAAAACTTGGGATCTTTAGAAAGTATAAAAACAGAATTTAAGCACTCTATTGATAAAAATTAACCAATATTTTTTTGAAATAAAAAAAAAACTTAGGATTGTATTTAAGTCTTATTCCTTTAAGAAGGTTCAAGTGACACCAATTTTTTATTAGGTTTTTCCTCAAGGTTTTCCTCACTTTTCTTATCTTTTTTTTCTTTTTTACTTTTCTATCTTTTTTTTTTTTTTTTCTTTGGGACTTTTTTAATTCTTGCTATTTTAATGTGAGGATTACTATATCTGGATAGGTCTTTAATAGTTTTAAATTTCAATATTCTCCCTCTAAAGTTGAAAACCCATCGTTTTCTTTCACTTTTGAAATTATAATATTAGTTTAAAATAGGTTTCAATTGAGGCTCAATTTCTGTAAAGTATAAATTTAAGAATCCTAGTTTTTTTTTTTCAAATATCCAACTCATTTCTACAATAAATAGTAAAATCATTTTCCTACTTATTTCCTATAAAATACCTTAACTCTAGATCACACTTAAAAAACCCCCCCCCCCCCCCACCTAAACTTAATTTTTAACATGTACAAAATTCAGTACATAAATATAAGCAGGGGAGAATTCACAATAATACTACCTAAATCATATGTATATCACAAAAAATAATAATTAAAAATATATATACAAGTATGCAGTAACAAATACAAATAAATAACAAGGGTGAATAAAAACTACAAAAAACAAAAGTCTAAATGTCCAAGCAGGTAAACAAAAATAAGCTAACAACAACAAAATATCAACTGAAATAAAGAGTTTAACAGAATAATAGCAAATATCCACAAATAATTCTAGTACATCCAAAATACAAAGAAAAAAAATTAAACTATTACTACTCATCATCATCTTCTTCTTCTTCTTCCTCTGATTCCTATGTTTTTCATCCTCCTCCATTGGCTTGCTTTGATCGTATGGCTAGTATGGAGGACAAGCTAAGAATTCCATTGAGTTATCCCCACTGATCCACTAGTTCCTCTGATACATCTCGAGCTTGGCAGTTTAGACACTGGAATTTGTTTTTCCAGTCAAGGTGTGTCATCTGGCCAGTAAGATCAACCATAAGAAAAAGGGTCAAGTCTCACGATTGCTTGCTCTATGCTTAGACACAAACCTCTTCTTACTTGATCTTTCAACAAACGCCTCGCCCACAAGCTTGCGCTTGCACTCACATGCCACTCATTGCCTTGAGGATCACACTCTTATCAGAAGGTAGGATTCCTTTGCTAGACATCATGAAAAACCGATAGGTAGGAAGACACAAGACATTTGCAGCTTCACACGAGATAAAACCCCAGTGATAAAGCCATTTCAACATAAGCTCGCCGCCTAGTAAAAGAGGCTGTTCGGACTCTCCCTAGGCTGAGCAACGAGGGCCTCCCTAACGACCAACAACTTTGAGCATATGTGGGTAAACTCCCATATGCAAGAAAGCATCTACCCATATGCAAGAACTATCTGAACTATCTGAAGTGCCTTATTATAATCAAATAACCTTATAAATTACCAAAACAACCCCTTGAAATGTTAATGATTAGTGGGTTATTATGAAATTTTGTAATATTGGGACCCAGACCTATACTCTCTCTCTCTCTCTCTCTCTCTCTCTCTCTCTCTCTCTCTCTCTCTCTCTCTCTCTCTCTCTCTCTCTCTCTCTCTCTCTCTCTCTCTCTCTCTCTCTCTCTCTCTCTCTCTCTCTCTTCATTGCCTCCTAATAGAACGTTCCATTCCTTGGAGTGTTTCCCGGACACTCTCGGATTCAATACATACCATATACAATTTCTATTCATTTACATATCTAACTTCTAAAATTCGATATTTACATATAATTAAAAACAACTTATTTATGAAAAGATGCATTTTAACTTTTAAAAACAAATTGATAATAATATTTTTGATGTAATATTAAGAATTAGAATGCCAATCATATATTATGAAAATTTAGATATCAGAAATGTAAATACATAAGAATCATGTGGTACTTGTATGGAACCCCTACAATTAATTATATTTTTCAAATCTACACATACACATGTTTTTATTGCATAAATTATTCAAGGCCCTTCAAGTTTAGCCAACCAATTTTAAATCTAAATTTCTTCTCATTATTTTTAATCCGATTTTTTAAATGTAACATTAAAGGAATTTTTTACTTCACATTTATTAAAATAATATTATATATATAATTTATTGTTTATCAGACACACGCAACCTACCATAATCGTTGCAGAGCTACTTGCGAGGGCCACACG